ATAAATAATAAACAAATAACAGCACAAAACAGTGTGTAAATTAATATTATTATGATTAACAATTTACAGTTTAATATATTCTCCTTGTAATTTTCTTTTTAGTATTTTTTTTTTATAAAATATGTTTAACTCTTGAATTATTCAATGAACCATTTGTAGGTAATGACACTAACGTTGACTGGATGCTTAGACATGGTCGTTCTGCAGCGTTATTTGTAGCATTAAAGGAATCACCAACAACTGTGTACAATAATAAAGAGAAAGATCGTGTTTGTGCAGTGATACTTTCATATTTAAGTGCAGATCGAGTTCAAATAGTTATGAACGGTGTACGAGCTTGTGGTTATTTGTTTCAATATCTTATGAATGAAAGGCAACCTATACCTCAACAGATTTTATCTCCTTTTGTACGGGTAAGTATATTTCAGTAAATATACAAGTTTGTTAAATTTATGCAGTATTAGTTTATTATGTAATATATTTCAGTCAATGAATAATAACAGCAACGACGTAAAACAGTTACTAGCTAAGGTTTGTATTCATTTGGCGCGTAATATACCACCCGAAAAGATGTCACCAGAATTACTTAAATCGCTCTTACCTATGTTGGTAAATGGAACAAAAGAGAAAAATGGTTATGTTAAAGCAAACAGTGAACTTGCTCTTATAGCTGTACTTAGATTGAGGCAAGGTGAAGAAGAACATCAGGTACATTTTTTATTAGTTGCCATCTAAATTTATAACATGAGTTTTTCAAGTTCATATAGAATATTCGTTTACATTTTTCAGCGTTGTATGGCTTTTTTGGATGTCGGCGCAAAAGAATCTTTATCAGATGTAGTCAGCAAAGTATTGCGCAAAGTTCTTTCTCAACCCGAAGGAAAAATAGAGGAATTGGATGATACATTACTCGCGTGAGAGATGTTGCACGTCCTGGGGTTTATTATGCTCTACAGCCTTTCTAATAATCGTACTACCAACGATTATTCGAACGACTTTTATAAAGAGACTTATTGTTCGTATACTAGTTGCATTATAAAAACGTTAGTTCGTTCCACATTGTATCTCGATAATCAATTAAACAAATTAAAATGTAACAATCGCTCGATGGCATTCAAGTTGCTTAAACTAAAGTGTCCTATTTACCGAGTGATTCGAATACAGATTGTAAATACTTCTACAAAAAATGTTTTTTACAGTCAATTTATTAATAATCTGTTTTTTTACATTTTAATTATTAGTATATCGAGGTTGTCTCAAGAAAACACACTTGTAAATTAGTCGATAGAAAGTGATGATACTAAACGTGTTAAACTTGGATACTGGAACGATGAAGATAATTTAAGATGCAAAGTAAATTTCGATCGTACTGTATATTCGCGGTATATTTTCTTGAAATACCATTATCTTGCGTCTTTTGGTATGTTTTGTTTGTACAACAACTAAAAATAGATTATGTTATTCATGCAAAAAGTCATATATGTTTAAACAAAAATACATGACTATTTTAGTTACGTTAGTTAATTTTACTTGGAACGTCAACAAATTAAGCAAAATGTTTACTTCCTATGCAGGATTCCAACGGTGCCGCGTTTTATTATAATAAAGTGTGTTTTGCTGTTTTGTATTGTAGTTATATGCATCGGGATATAGTTTATATTTTAGAATTACTTAACGATTGTTGAGTTGGCTTAAGCTGGACCGTAAAACGCGGTACTTCTAGATCTATCATTAAAGCGTCTTCGCATTTGAGCGTATTTTATTTTCAATATTATATTGATTTTCAAAATTAGTAGCCACTCAATTTACCTATATTTACATCATTTGCAATAAACACAATTTACAAATGTACGTAATGTGTATATACAATTTTATGATAGATTGTCATGTAGTAAACAAACATGGGATTTTATACTTTTATATACACGAATTTTTAAAGCTCCATAAACATTTACTCTTGTAATATTAACTTTCATGTTCCTATTCATATACTTTTGTATCTATTAAAAAAGTATTACTTATATAAAATTCAGGTAAATACAAAAACATATACCGTCAACAGTCTTAAATTTAATTCTTTATTTGTAATTAAACAATATTTTCACAACATTAAATAATGATAGTTTTAGTAAATGCCAAGAAATATTTTACTTTGTAAAACATTTGAATATCTTTTGTTTCAACTTAATTTTATTATATATTAAATGGTATTAAAAACTACTACGAAAAATACAGAGAACGAAGACGCCAAAAAATAATAATTTGATGGACTAGAAGTAACGCATTTACTTTGTATTTAAGACAGAAAAGTCACACATTGTAGTCACATAATGTCGTTCCTATGTCTTCTTGAGCCCCGATGATTTTCATAAGAATGCTTGGACTGTATACAAAAAGAAAATCAATCAAGTTTTGCTGCATCGTTATATGACAAACTGTAATAGATTTAATTTGTTTCAACGTCACTAAAAATTCTGCTATTGCTGGCTCAGGACTGACTCGTCCTGTTCGTAGTTGCAGAAGTAGTCGACTGCCGCGATTTTCTCAATTTTATGTCTGACGGATTAATTTCCTATCTGTACCCGTTACAAAGTCCAGTGTATTTACATGTATATCCGACATCGTGTTCAATTGCTTTTACATTGATTGCATTGAATAATGTCTATTTAATTATATCTATTATTTAAATTCGAATGATTCTTTCGAATATTAAAGCCAAATGCTGTAGGTCGAGCTTCCGAAAACACAAAAATCACATGCGTTTGATAACATTTTTTCGTTTCTTTGAAATTTTTTATGAGTTATATTTGATGTTATCGAATTGTTTATTAGGGACACACATTGAGAAATTACACTATAAATAAATTTCTGGCATAATCGTACAGATTTATTTATAACTCAAAAAATTCAAGAGTAAATTCCAAGATTTTCAAAACTTACTTTCAAAAGTGTTAACAAATTTTGTTTTTAAATCAAAATAATGTTTTTCCATCGAAAATTTAGTTATCATATTTAGATTTAGATTTAATTATATATTTGCATATGATACAAGTAGAATGATGCGCTCAATACAGTATTCTTTCCTTTGTACTGTTACTAAAGGACAAACTTTTGTCTAAAATAAGATGTTATTTTAATCGGCGGAACATTGGCAAATAGACAGTTTTTAATATCATTTTTAACTTATTCTATTCATTGTTCTTGTGAAGCTATATTATTATTTTTTATCTTTCTTTCCTTTTTAGTTTAAAAATATACTCATATGTCAATATAATTTTAGTTTAATATTTAATATTGTCTTTTATCTTTTGTAACCTAATTTAATTGCAATTTTGCATAATGTAAGTATATTTTTAAAACTAAAACGCAATAGTAAAAGTACTCACGTTTTACTGATAGTTCTGAACATTCAAGAAGAAAACAGTAACAGAAGCTACATGATAGAAATAAAATTAGATTTTATTATTGCTTTCATAAATCATATTAAGCTCTGTTCTTAATTTTAGTGTCTTTTCGGGTTGAATAGTATTCATTACTTCGAGAAGTCCTTTTTTCTTGTAAATTATTCCTTTCTAATGACGTGGTTTTGCTCTCGACTTTCTTCGTTTGCAACTCTTTCTCAGTTTCCGTTTTTAAGGAAAGTAATTGTTTCGTTGCTTCTAGTATTATTTCATAAAATTCAAGAAATGTCAACTGCAATATTCAATTGCTATATTGTAAATTATGCATAATACAATATACAACGTGTTTGTAAAATATGTCATATTGAAGTGAGATACAGTTAAGTTAGGAGAGATGCAATTTTTAAATGTCCTTAAATAACGATTAGTTAAAATATTAATCAGTTATTACATTGAACACAACACATATTGTGAATTAAATATTACTGCATTTCAGTATATACAATATTTTCTGCTTTCAGTACATTTTGATATTTTCAGTTTGATAATACTTTTTGATAATACTTTTATAATTATAAAGTCAATGTTCAAAAAAATTCATAATATTCAATTTCATAATACAAATAACGTCTAATAAACATAAAAGACATAATTGTTTACTACTGATATAATAATTTATAGTAAGTAACATTTACAATTATTTATATTATGTAATTTCTCTTGGAAGTAATACACAAAATTACAGGGCTGCATTTATACTTTTGGAGGCCCTAGGCGCAACATCATTACAAGGTCTCAAACAAACAAGTCTATTTCAGTTAATCAAATTCATACACATTTTTTTTTTTAAGTTTATTGAAAATAAATATTTTATTTTGTAATTATAACTACGCTGTTTTTTATATTGTTGTTCGTGAGAAGTACGGTTTTAAAATGTGGTCCCACAGAGAGTGAGGCCCCAGCTTGCGCCTGATGCGCCTTATGGTAAATGCGGCCATGCAAAATGAATTATCAATACTTATAGAAAGTAAGAAATGGTCAAATTCTAGGGCTATATTTTTCATTTGTTTCGTATACCACACTTTGTAATAAGCACTTTAATAATAATATCAAGAAATATAAATCGAATACAAACCTGAGGGCTGATACTTAATAATATAATGTATATTTAAAACATTATAATGTGGGATATTTAAGAAGGTAAAGCAAAAACAATCTATTGAAAATGATCTAGCAACTGTTCAGTTATTTGAACATAAAAGTATCTACTAAATTTTGTTTTTACCAAGTGCACTAAAATTGAAATTATAACATTATACCTTGTAATCCATATTTTTAATTATACTGTTATTTGCATCTTTTATTTCAGGACATATTAATGTCATAATTTCCACCATCTTTGAAGCTTCTAGTTGCTTATAGACCAGTAATCTATTATCTGTGTTATGTGTTACTTTTATAAGTTAGATGAAGAACTCATGGCAATATATAGAGTGTGTTATACGTACATGTATCGTCATTTTTCCTTGATACATCAATGGTACAATGGGGTGATGCCAAAATTTCATCAAGTTTCAATAAATAACTGACTTTCTCACCTATTGTCACAGAATTAATTCCATCTGGGAAATTTTTGATAGCTTCAGCAATTGTTGGAAGTGGTTGCAAATCTGTTGTACCTATATCAATAAAACATTGATACATTTTAATGTAAAAATACCATTACTCTAGAAATTAGGTTTTAAGCAGATTCTGCATGCATACTGTTAAATGTACAAACATAATTGTTCACTACTAATAAAATACTTTAAAGTTGTATGTTTTATTTGAATTCTTTTTAAATGCACTTGAAGTATTAAGAAAATCAATTACAAGATAAATTATAGATTTATAACTTATTAATTAAAGTGGTCGTTTAAATTATTTCTAGTATCATTTTGTAATACTTTAACATAAAATGCTGTAATTGAACATTCTGTTTTTTTCATTTACAGAAAAGTACTCAGAATATTTATCAGTGGTACAAGCAATTCTTGAATAACAGTTAGTTGGTTTTATGTTATTCACACTTAATGTGATTCGTGACTTAAAATTCATCTAGATTGTAATTCAAGCTAAATGAATAAAAGTACAGAAAGTATTGATTTACATCTATTATACTTTATTTTCGCTTAGCTCTTAGAACAGTCATCTGTTATAGCTTAACACCTAAAATAAATCAGTAAAATAAGTACTAGTCAGTATTTGTGATCGTGGGCGACA